TAATGCAGGCTAAATCTCCTAGTAGAATTATGGATTTACTCGAGATTATTCAAAAGTCTGAACTTCAGTTATAGAGATAGTTTATTGTTAAAGATTGGTAAAGTCCGCAAGCGTACAGGAAGCAAACACACAGGAAAACCAAGAGTGTGTATGCCTGAGTGTTAAAAATCCATATATATATATAATATATATAATATATTATATATATATATATATATATATGTAATACAACCAAAGGGAGGATAGATTAAAAAGTGATATGTGCTCAATCATACACAGGAAATTATATTGTGGATTAAGTGTTTAAATTGCAGTGAGCAGATAAATAATTCAGTAGTTGAATGGGCTTACTATACTTTCATCGTTCTTTTGCCTGAAGTTTGTGCTGATGATGTCGATTACAAGAACGATGAAAGCTTCACGACTAAACCATTCAGCTCAGAGAACAAAACTTTATCATAAGCAGAGGAAATATTTATTATCTACAATAATAGGAATAATTCAAATTGTCAGTAACTTAATTCATCTGGTAATGGATAGGGTATTCATATTTGATCACCATCTAGTGATCAACCAATTGTGATTGCATCTCAATCCTACAGGAGGTCGGTCACGGCACGGATATCCTAGTGATAAGGTCTTTGGCTGTGAAGCTGGGTGACACGGGATCGAACCCAACAGGGAGCACCAGTTCCCTCAAGATTACAGGTACACCTTACTGACGAGTGCCAAGTAGCACGAAACCCGGGTCCAGGGTTTCCTGTTGACTACCTTCAACAATCATCTATTCTCAGCATAGTGCAATCAATATGGAGTCACCTAGACTAGTGGCCACATTTCAACTTGATCGATAGCATTCGATCTGCACTAAGAAGGACTTGACATACATGAAATTGATCATCACCCAGTGATCAATCAATTGTGATTCATATTTACTTATCTTTAAAAAAAAAGAAAATAACTAAATTGGTAATTATAGAATGCTAAACTTGGATAATGTAACTGCTATCCAAAATCTGGGATTAAACATATATGTCGATCAATCTTATGCTCCAAAGTTAATTTTAAACTTAATTAATTGATGCTATAATATTATGTCTGTTTTTTTAAATGTATTATGAATGTTTTATTTTTATGATTACTGTTTCTATACATTTCGTTATAGTTGTATTATGCATTGTTGTAGGGTAGATAGCTAAGTAACTGATAACATATTTGTCATGTACACAAGCAGATGGATATCAAGACTCAGTAGCTAACTGGATAACGCGATGGTGTTTGAAGCGAATGGTATTGAACTTGACTCCCGGAGTAAATATTATTATTATTATTAGCTTTATTCCATATTGTATTTTTGGTACAATATAGAATTCTCAGCTCAAAGTATTTCAACAAGTTTCCGTTTCTTTCTTCTTGGTCGGTCCTGGCGATAAATATTGAGTGATCGCCAGTTAGATGTTAGCAGTCCAGTAAATGAACATCTGAATAATGTACATTCTTTTCGTTGCATATTGCCAGCAACCACATTGTCTCTTATTGAGGTTTTTGTAACTTTGACAACGAAAGGTTGTACACTTTTCAAAAATGCACCAGGATAGCTTATGCGATTAATAGACATAATGATATATTAAAACAAACAAAAACAGATAACTTATTGAAATATCTAGATAGCAGGAACAGGTAGCATAGATGCTCAAGCAGGCCGCCTTGAAAGTAGATGCAGGTACATCCACCTGACGAGTCCCAAATAGGACGAAACGCGCGTCCTGGATTCCACTGCTAGCCACTATCATTCTTGTCTAAAAAAGCTTGTGAATTAAGGCTATAGCGAGGCAATCTGCACAGGATGCATATATGCCAATAAGAGACTGATCAATTGCAGTCCTAAATAACAATGGGAAGATACAAGTAAAACAACAGCAAGGTAATTTATGTTGTGTATATATTTACATTATTTGATTCTTCCTCCTTTTTTTGAAAATGTAAATATAGATCGAAGTACTAATGTAAGATGAAGATATGTTTAATGCAATTTAAGTTTGATTCATAATGTTTACTACAGTATGTTTTTATTGTCGATTAGCTTCGAAAAGTAAGGATCAATTTTACGTTTCAAAGCATTCTGAATAGAAAATTTAATTCTCTATTTAATGACATTCATTGCCTCTTTTAAGTGATGAATTATGCATATGTGTCATTGTCAAGCATAAACGACATAGAATCTAAAATGTAATGAAACTTTAGAATATAAATAGCTAATAAATTATATTGTCGAACTTAATCATTTTCTAAATGATAACAGGGAGTCAACAATTCATTCGAATTATTATTATTATTATCATCAGTAGTAGTAGTAGTAGTAGTAGTAGTAGTAGTAGTAGTAGTAGTAGTAGTAGTAGTAGTAGTAGTAGTAGTAGTAGTAGTAGTAGTAGTAGTAGTAGTAGTAGTAGTAGTAGTAGTAGTAGTAGTAGTAGTAGTAGTAGTAGTAGTAGTATTAGCAGTAGTATAAAGATAAGTCAATTGTGAACCTACTAAATAAAATTAAATGCATGCCGGAAGCTATACAGAATTGAACCAACTAAGAGAAACAAAACAACTAACTATCTAGTTAAATTCATACAAATGTAACATTTGAGTTCTTTTTTGCATAGTAATTAAAAGTTACGCTCAATCGATGAATAGATTTCTATTGATTACCTTAATGAAATAAACAATTCAATTCATGATGTAGAATGTACAATAAACAATCTCTATAAACTCACTGTACTAATACGAAAAAGAAAAACAGGAACTTTTAATTAAATTTAAATGAAGTTTTGCTTTTACCCCAAGTTCTTTTCTATTACCGAAATGAGGTTAAAAAATAATCAAGAATAAATTATCAGTATGGGGTTGTGTAGATTATTAAGTTTCTGATTAAGATCATTAATCGATCGATGTTAGACCACCATTGAAAACTTGAAAGCATTGGACGGCCGTCTCTTCCTAGTATGGAACTTCTCGACAGTTAGACATTAACACTATTGGATGCCGGCAGGATCAGTGGTCTAGATGTTAAGCGTTCGCATGCGAGAATGAAGGTCCTGGGTTTGAAATCCGCGAGCGGGAATGTGGATGCGCACTGCGGAGGAGTTCCATACTAGAACGAAATGGCCATCTACCGCTTCCTGGTTTTCTAGCATCAATCGTTTCATGATCTTATTCAAAAAAATTATTTGTTTGTTTATCTATTTTAAAAGTTATCCTCTTTTCATAGTATTCTCTTGAGAGTGAAGTTAATTCAAATCATTGCAAGTCCACTGAGTATATTAAAAACAAAAAAACAACAGAATCTAACTTGTTTGTCATGTAACTATCTTCTTAATTTTGTTAATTACATACAGAATTAACTTGATATAATAAATACAAGATGAACAAGGAATAATTAAGAAAATAGAAATGATATGTACAAAAGATATTTAAGAATTAAGTAAATTCACTCACTTGAATGAATGAAAAACAAATGCCTAGTACATAATTTCCATAAGGAATTACTCAATAATACTCCCTTCTTTTTTATAACTTTTTCTATGTTCTTCTCTTACCAGCCTCCCCCCACACACACACATTCTTACACTTTTTGAGCAATACTATGTGACTCATAAATTTACATCATTGTGAGACAAAATGAATGAAATTGGACAATATAATTTTATTTACTCTGCTTTTGGTATACATTCTTTTATTTTGGTAAATGGTTTGGATTACTTTCTCTGGTTAGCGTTATTTTAGCAAGTTAGTTTTCTACAGGATGGGGTGACTAACCCGAGGCTCAACCCTCCTCATTTATCCGGGCTTGGGACCGGTAGTAGCTCCAGGTGGAGTTTATTTTGGTAAGTAGTAAATGATAATTTAAGACTTACAATTGATGTATCACCGAGTGGTGATCATTATCATATATGTCAGTTCCTTCTTTGTACAGATCGAATCCTATCAATTCGTCCGGGAGCATTAGTTCCCTCAAGGGTACAGGTACATCTTGCTGACGAATACCAAGTATTATGAAACCTAAGTCCACGGTTTCCTATTAGCTATCTCCAACTACTATCTTAAAGACTTTAAAGATGAAATGTTAAAATTTCAATTTATTGACATTATGAACCGATCTAAGTTCAACAAACATTAAAAACTGGGGATAATTGATCAGCTTGTAGTGACTCACATTTATCACGAGAACACGACTGGTTTAATAAAAGCAATCATTATTATAACCAACTGTACCAGTGTTTGTTTTAATGTGCTTTTGTTTGACTGTACTAATGACAACTATATTGTTCTTCCATTCTTATTCTTACACTTTGATTTTGACTTCGCGTGAATTCGGTTACGTTCTGTAACCAAGCTTGTATCCTGGCACGATCTCGGTATCCTTTCGATGCCACGAGATCGCCAGCGAATATATCTCGATTTGGTCCATTAATTGCCTTCTGATATTTGGCTTCTCGGGGATTTTATGGATTTATTTGGTTACGTTCAACCTTCGACTTCTGATTTACTTGGCACGTGTTTCTTGGTAGCGGTGTTCATAGTCAACCGCGACTCGACGCCACGCTACAAGCTATTTCCTCCTAGTTAGTCTTCAAAAAGATGTCGTTGTTTAATAGCTAGCAGCTAAATTTCAAAACATTATTGACAAGACTATCTTGTGAAAACAGTATATTAATTTTAATACCTAGTATGTAAAGCCAACATAAATAAAAGATACATTGTCAACTTAACCTAGCGTCGTATGACTACCGTACAAGCTATTGTGCAGAATGTAGAACTTCTCAAAAAATGCTCTGTAACGTTTTTGAAAATTTTAGATCTTGCTTAAATATGGGGATAGTTAAATGTATTTAGCATTAACTGATTTATTTGGTGAACGTCAAGTATTACATCGATAGGAGATTCGCCTCCACAGATATGTACTCAGATAAACCAATGACTTTCTTTTCTGACCACTTCAAGTAAGTGTAAATATGATCTCTACCCGTAATTCTGTTCTTACTACTACTACTACTACTACTACTACTACTACTACTACTACTACTACTACTACTACTACTACTACTACTACTACTACTACTACTACTACTACTACTACTACTACTACTACTACTACTACTACTACTACTACTACTACTACTACTACTACTGCTACTACTACTACTGCTACTACTACTACTACTACTACTACTACTACTACTACTACTACTACTACCACTACTACTAATCACACTTTTTATTTCAAACGTTTATGAATACATCTTCGTAATTGCTCATACCCAGGTTCCGTCTCTAGCCTGGCCACACTCAGACAGGTAATTTATTCTGGAAAATCTATAACAACTATATCTGAACATCTAGGTGAATTCTGACATTTTTTTAATAATTCGATTGATCCTTTAGTTAACACAGTCTAACTGTTTCAATCACAATTTTTTGAATTTTCTGATCAGAATGATTTTAAGCGTAAATAAGAAACCGTAAAAATAATACCCGATTGGTTAAACGGTGTATTTTTTAAGAAGTAAATTTTGTTAATGTTGAGGATGCTAGATCCCCGGAACTTACTTGGTAAACGTTTATTTTTGTAATTTTATTTCGAAAATTTGAATTTGTTGTTTTAGCGCCAAAGGTGCCCATTTTCACCTTCTTATCACATTTCCCACTTGACAGGACTTTAAATGTCTCTTTTAATGTTATTTTGTGACGTTTCTGTTATAACTTGTCAATTAAATGCTACTTGTTATATCTGGTCGTCGCTGATTGTTGTGTCGGAAATGCTTATCACTTATACTCGAAACGATGGACCTCTGCAATTCCCATGACTCGAAAGTAAGAACACAAGGCTGGTATAAGGGATGATTTATTAACCCCAACACACGACGACGACGACCCTAGTATAAAATACATTTATTTATATATTGACTGTACACACAATTTGATTAATAATTAGGATGAAATCACATATAAAAAATCACATGCTGAGCATAGTTGATGTCAGTCGAATACAAGAATACCGTATATTATACTGAATAAAATATTATATGAGAAAACAAAACAAATACTGCATTGAGTAATCAACACATTGAATCAAAAGAGAAGTAATCTTGAACAAAACTCGTAATGAGTAAATCAATCGAATTTCGACTTCTTTCCATCATATCAATTTCCCTTCTTTTTTTAATACTCAAAGCTTAGATCCTGACATAAATTTTCTGACTTTCCTCCCCCCCCCACGAAATAGTGTTGGGTCCTCATATTCCCAAGTTGCAGTTAATGTGACTATTTAAAACATATTTCCCGCATTGAGTAGAGAGTCCACTAGAACTGATTAGATGGTAAGAATCAACGACACTTGATATGAGGTCATTAAGGTTTGATTCTAATGAAATATTTTCATCAAATTTCTTGGAAATATCATTGGTAGATAGTGGATCACAAGGATAATCAGCATCTATCAAAATTTCATTACGTTCTTGAACACCCATGAAACGTCCTCACAGTTTTCCAAGGACATTTTTATGCTATATATATACATTTGAGTTGTGCTTGTTGTTCCTCTTCGTACTTCTGGCTGTTTGTGGAATTTATTTCCCCTTATCGGAACTTAGACTTCTCCCTCTAGTTATAGGGACTAGAACGTATCGGTAGAGTTATCTTATTTTGTCATTGTGTCGCTGAGTCTTCGTTTCGTTCACCGATTTTTAGGTGATGTCGTAATCTCTTCAAATATAACAGTTAATTACCTTCATTTAATATGTAATCATCATTTTCATTATACATGGAAACTATGGAATTTATGTTATACTATTTTCCCATTATTTACATGATTCTAAACAATATCTTATATTTAATGTGTTCCAGTTTTAAATAAATCAGATTACTAATAACCTCTGACTTTTACATTGTCAGATTTGTAATAACCAGTGTAGCAACAGCCTCAGCAGCAGTAGGTCTGAATATACGCAAAGGGAAAAGCAAGATTCTCCGATACAACACAGCATGCACCAATCCAATCATAATTGACGGAGAAGATTTGGAAGATGTGAAAACCTTTACATATTTGGGCAGAATCATTGATGAACACAGTGGATCTGATGCAGATATGAAGGCGCGGATCGGTAAAGCAAGAGCAGCATATTTACAACTGAGGAACATCTGGAACTCGAAGCAACTGTCAACCAACACCAATATCAGGATTTTCAATACAAATGTCAACACAGTTCTACTGTATGGGGAGGAAACCTGGAGAACTACGACGAAAGCCATCATCCAGAAGATACAGGTGTTTAATAATAGTTGTCTACATAAAATGCTTCTGATCTGTTGGCCAGACACTATTAGCAACAATCAACTGTGGGAAAGAACAAACCAAATCACAGCGGAGGAAGAAATCAGGAAGAAGCGCTGGAAGTGGATAGGACATACATTGAGGAAAGCACCCAACTGCGTCACAAGACAAGCCCTCACATGGAATCCTGAAGGTGAAAGGAGAAGAGGAAGACCAAAGAGCACATTACGTCGGGAAATGGAGATAGACATGAGAAAAATGAACAAGAATTGGATGGAACTAGAAAACAAGGCCCAGTACATAGTGGGTTGGAGAATGTTGGTCGGCGGCCTATGCTCGATTGGGAGTGACTGGCGTAAGTAAGTAAAAGTAAAAGTAAGATTTGTAATAAAGATTATTTCCTCATCCTTCTAATATGTGCACCGGTATTTTCTACAAAGTTCCTTCTCACTTCTATATATTATATTTTAGCATATCTTCCATTAACAGTATATCTAGTAATCATTCGACATAAATTATTACATACCTTAAATAGTAATATCTTTTGATCTTGTTACATTTTTTTCTTAATTTGTTAAGGGACTATCACACAACAACAAAAAATGTGCATTATTCTCATTTACCATGGATCTTGGTAAGAGAAAAGCTTGTTTGTTTTTTTCTTTTTCATGTTTATTTTTGCTATAATCATTTTCAAAAGATGTGAAGAATAACAGTGAATTAGTTGTATACATTAGATCAGATTATTTATCTTCACTGTCAAAAACATATCATGTTTATGAAACTTCAAGAAGACTTACTCTCTTCTTCTTTTTTGTTTCGTTTCTCTCAAAATAGAAATAAAGATTGTCATTTACAAATCTCATCATAAATTAGATTACTGTCTATAAATAAAAATTTTATCCATTAAAGAAAATTATGAAAATTCAGTATGATTCTTAATTTTTGTTGAGGTGATCCAGAAAATTTCTTGCAAAAGACAAGCAAGGATCAGGAAACACTAAGAAGCATTTCATCCAATCAGCGTTCACTTGAAGTTTTAGCCAGAAATATCAAGGAATTGAAACGTCACATGTGGAGGTTCTGATTGGCTGGTTGCTGTACTGCTACTATGTTTAGTAGCATTCCAGAACCTTCGAGCAACCCAAGGACATCTAAAATATTATAAAAACCCTATATTTTCTGTATTGAAATGAACCTTGGAGTAGAGTACCTCTCGCATACTTTGCGTCTTCTCTCTCGTGTTCAGGTCGCTGTATAGTTCTAGCTTGGGGGGTTACAGAATAGCTTAGGAAACGAATATAGCGTTCAATTTGCAAGACTTATCAATTTTTAATTAGAAACAGTTCTTTTTTGTTGAATTTTATTTGGACACATAAATATTGGTACAAGAGAGCACCAAATAGATATGTGCCACATAAACCACTTGATTTGTGCATGGGGATTTGATACAGATCTAGTGGCTAGACAGAAGTAGCTTTCTTAGGGGACCATATCTAGAGCCTTCGACTTTAAAGTCTGATCCGAAGGTAGTGAAGCAACGTAAGGAGATGTATTCCCATGGTAACCCGTCAGTAACAATTGGTTTATATGGTATTTGTTCATTCAGGATACTGGAGTCCATGTACACCATTGGTTTGGAATCAAGGTTTTCTAACTCCCCTCCGTGTTCACCAACCCCGGTTAAAGCACCAGATATTCGCTTTACGTCCTCTTCATTTCGTAAACAACACACTACCACGAGAAGGCGATGAGTATGACTTCTCTGACAGAGGCTGTATACGCGTGGCCATGTGAGAGCATTTCGAAAGGGAGAGTGGGCTCTCCCCACCCTCGGCTGTACCAGGGCACTTAAGAGCAAACAGAATTATTTGATGACCAAAAAGTTATTATTTGAGTTCTTTTCTCAGACACAAAAGTATTTTACACACTGAAGATGATATCAACATTTGATTTTATTTCAAGTGTATAATTAGAACTCCCTGATTAATTACTAGTGTACTATTGACTTGTAAGACCCACAAGGAAAAAGAATGGAAATCAAGATTAAATGACCAAATCGCATTTTGAATAAATGATACTACACATTAGAACCAAGAAAAAAGAAGCAAAATGAGAAGAATTTATTGTTTCATATTATTCTTGTTATTAATATTTAATGAGATAGAGGCTTCTATTTACTGATATTTTTGGTGTCAAATGAAACTAACATATTTATCAAGATGTCATCAAGGCAATGTAAGTTCGCTGGTGGTTACTTTGGCATTAGTAACACAAAACCTGAGAAGTTCAGATTCTAGATGGTGATTTTGATTTTGAAAGAATGATTCACTGTTCATAAGAAAGTGACATGTTTGAAACTTAAGTTGGTCTGAGATGTCCTATCAGCGAAATAGCATGGCGAGCAATATATATAATAAAAGGTATATGAAACGGGAATTTGTAACCCAAGTGGATAATTTTAATGATGTTGTGTTTAATGAGTTAGACGGTTTGATTGTTCAGAATTCATTACCGTTCTGGACAATTTCATCGGAGCATACTTCACGTCCAAAATGACAATAAAAGCTCCTCCTTTAAGTTATTACCATATACTATTAATCTAAATGTCCATATGTTTGACAAAAATTAGTTTCCATTAATCTGACATTCACAAACAATAATATTTTCAGTAAAATTGGCCAGAAATAGACAATTGTCCAACAAACTACACCAAACTCAATTATATATCTGAAACAAATAAGTAAATCTTCATCTTAAGAAACCTTCGAATTTATTTGTCAACTTTTGAAGACTTCGATTAATAAATACTTAAATAATTTATAATATAATTCGTCAGTTCAATACTTAGAGCAAACATCTAGATTGATAATGAGCTGTGGACGACATCATCTCAGTCAAGAACACAGAACATACTGATACTGATCTATTCGACTTAATACAAAAAAACAATTATAAATCCTT